AGAATCTTCTGTTGTTCATGAATGTACTCTTACAGTGATCATATTCATATATCTATTTACTGTGTCTCCATGCTTTAATGTTCAAAAAGCTCTTTATTTGTCTCATACTGCCTGTGCTGCTGCACCTCTTTTCACCCCCTGTCTGAAACCAGAGCCCAGTCTGCTCTGATTGGTTAGCTGGCCTGCTCTGTTGTGATTGGTCAACTGCTCAGAGATGTCCCCCCCCTTAGCCTATCAACAACAATGTGTTGGAGAGCTAGCGAACAGAAGTGTGAGTGTTACATTGTGATGTCACTGTGTGGTGGAAGTAAAAAAAGGAGTCCAAAGGAGGTGTTTTAGGCAGGGGGGGATTTTAGCCTTTGGAGGCCATTTACATGCAAAAAAAACTATATAACACACAACAGGAAAGAAAAAAAAAGCATAACTGTGTGTCATTCTAATAACTTGTTACCACTATTATATTTTTGTATAGAATGTTCTTTTCACTTTTGAGAGATAAATCTGTAGCTGTTATGTGAGATCTGTATGAGGGCAGATTTACTTAATTCTGAATTCAGCATAGTTTATACTTTACAAATGAGAGTGGCTGTCTGCATGGGTGTGTGTCTTGTTCAATATCATGTGTGTGTGTGTGTGTGTGTGTGTGTGTGTGTGTGTGTGTGTGTGTGTGTGTGTGTGTGTGTGTGTGTGTGTGTGTGTGTTATTCACACTTGCAATGCTCATCTACAAACTCTCTGAACACAATTTCTAATTGTGTATATTTAGTGTGAGTCTGTGTACCAGAGTATGACTGTGTGTCTGCATATGTGTGTTGGAACCAGTGCCAGTGTGCAGCTGAGTCCCACAATGCCCCTCTGTACAGCCCACTCTCACTCTATACCCAACGGCTCCCTGAGCTCCCCCACACGCCAATTCATGTTTTTTTAATGCGTGTGATTCTCCTGTTTCAATGGTTTCTTAGAGTTCTCCTTTCAGAGTTTCAGTCACAATGGTGAGTCTCATTTATTTGTGTTATTTCATCTGCTTCACCACTTTCCATCCAATTCTCAATTTTTATTTAATCGTCTGATAATTGAATACCTGATTACAATCCTCTGACAATAAAAATACATTTGTACCACTCAGTCATTATGGTTCAACCTAAACCCAGTTGATTAAAGTTACTGTTGCTTGTGAAAACACACATCTTGCGGATGTTATTCGGCAGGTATAAAAAAATTGAATATGCTGTACAGGAAGTTATCAAAGATGTACCATCAAACAGATTTTTCTTTCTTAGGACTTATTTATTCATTTATGGATTTTCCAAGCGGTCACTCACTGGAGCCTTTGCACCACCATCTACAATATTTCCCTTTTTTGTAGCTGCACAGTAAGCAGCTCATTCTAGTCATATTGTGTATTGAACTACAGTTTCTATCACATATAGACTTATATACAAACATATGGTTTTTATTTTATTTATTTTATTTTTGCGTTTCAGCATTATCTTTATGAATAAAGGAATCAAGACCATGTAACAACAAAAACTTCTATACGTTAATGGAGCTAACGTCATAAAAAAATAAGAATAATGCTAACTTCCTGTATTCTTAGCCACTGTGACCCCTATACTGACTGTACAGCCTGGTGCAGTGTACTTCCTGGAGGCTTCATTACATGCCATATAGATTTCATAAAATGTAATTCAAATAGAAGATGTATTCAAACTCCCGCCCACAATATTTGATTGGCAGGGTTTTGCGGGGCGTGAAATGGAGACACACAACAGCAGCAATAACTGAGTATGCAGATTATTAATGAACAAACATGGATCTTACGGATCATCACTTTAACCAAACAAGAGTTGAATATCAATTTCTCTGTCACTCTCCAGAACATCAGAAGTATTACAGTCTTAAAACACATAGAAGTTCCTAATGTTTTTTGCCTCAAAGCCAATAAACCATTAAGTGGATCCAATTGGGCCGAGACAGTGATTGATTAACTGATAATTGATTATGCTTATTTTTTTTATAGGAACATCTATATTTGAGGAGAAAACTGCTTTAACTAATGGTTTGTTTAATGGGTTTGGGTTTATGGTTCTTCATCAACCCTCTATCTCAATCTCCACCTCCTCTCCTCTTCTTCAAAGCTCCTTTGTTAGTGTTTGACATCTAATAAATGCTGCATTGTTCTTCTATGTTAAAGGGAAGTGTGTAGGAATTTACCGCCATTGGAGCTTTTGTTTCTACCCAGCAACAGAGCTATAGGATCTAATTAAGATTCAGTTCGGGTGCTGTGTGAGTGTGTGTGTGTGTGTGTGTGTGTGTGTGTGTGTGTGTGTGTGTGTGTGTGTGCGCACTACTACTTTTTATGATTCAAACTTTATCATGAGTTTTGAACTCATTAAAAGGGCTTTCTCCGGATTAACGTGAGGAGTTGATGTTTTTCCAAGCCCTGTATGTGACATCTAGCTTAGCTCAACCTCTGCAAGGGAGGTTATGTTTGGTTTATTTGTTGTTTAATTTTAATTCCTTAAGGTATTTATATCAGTGACTGTATCCAAAAGTACATTAATATCATTAAAAATATATAAGATGCTCTACCCGATTAACTACAAGCTATTTTCAGTTTGTATCCCTTGGGCAGGTGGAAGTAAACAATAGAACACAGAGCTAAACCTCATCCCCACTCCAAATGGAATAACATTTATAAACCATCACTGTCTGTTTTCAAGAGGGATTGCAGAAAAATGACTGGCCCTATTTTTATGAAACCCTGTAAAAGGGTGTAGAATGGGCCAAGGAAGGACATAAGAAGAAACAACACAAAGTCAATGTGGAGATCTTGTAAAGTCTATTTTTCTTCTTTAACAGAGGCTTGCAGTCTCTCCCTTCTTCCTGGTTGAACACAACCCATCTCTCTTTGAACGTACAGATGTGAACCCTAACCCTGTATGAAAAAAATAAAATGGAAGACAACCCCTTTTGGGTTTTTGTGCATGTAAAGGGTCGGCAAAGGTTTAGCTCTCAAAGTCAGAGTTTCTGTCCCACACCCCCACCCTGCCTGAAACGTGTCCTTAGGACTCCTTTGTTTACTGCGGTAACATAATGACATCACTATGTAACGCTCACGCTT